ATAAATTGATGCCCAATTTAACGTTAATATTGTGGCGTTATTTCCTACAGGATTTCATCAAGACTAACAGACCTAATTTTATAAGTTTCTTCAGTTAAATTTAATTTATTAGATTTTAATGTTCTTTTAATGTAGGTTTAATTTATTTTTCTTTAGTTTCCTCAGTTTTCTTTGGTTTTTTAGTTTTCATTTCGTACGTGCGCGTGTGCATGTAAATATTTTTCTGTACAGTGATTGTTTTTTAATGATTTGTGTGTATTGTATGTGTTATATGCATAGCATATTTTGTATTTGTTATATTGCAGTGTACAATTGAATATATGTATATCTGAAGAATTGCACCTGTTTCATAGTGAAGCAAACAGTAGTGCCGCAGAAGTCAGTAGTGTCGTAAAAGTCGGTAATGCAGTTTACGAATTCGAATTTTTTTGTCTTTTTCTTGACAACTCGTACGAGGTACTGAGTATGTGCCGTTGGGTTTAAGGATCACTGTACCCCCCTTGTCTTCACGTGACCTACATTCGTTGATGTAAGGAGGTTTGCTAGGCTACAGTGATATTTTTAAACGTTAATAACAAAAAACCGAAGCCTTAGACGTAATTTTTTTATTCTTGATTTTCGTCTTATATCGACTTCGAGAATCACCCCTTAAATTTTCTACTAATAGTTACTAAAATCTTGTGTAATTTTCTGAAATTTAATAAAGATGAAAAAGTAACAGTACTTATCACAGGCACTCTTTTGAAATATAAACATCACTTGACGTCTCTCTGTAATACTCGATATAATCAGAGTACAGAAAGAGGGGATATTTTTTTTAAGTAGAACAGGAAATTTAATAGAAATTAATGCCACATTAAAAAGGAATACAAACGAATACTAGAAAAACACGTGATTCCATCTAGGTAAAATTTTGCAACACAGAAAAATAAAGAATATTAAAAAATATAATTTGGTCACCACAATCACCTGACATGAATGCCATAGAAATTCCATGGGATGAAATGGATAGACAATACACAACATCCAAAAAATATCTAAGTTTTTATCAGAAGTTTTTATAATAAGCTTAAAAGAATATACCACAAGATAAAATGAAAAAATTAATAATGCGTATGCCGAAAATCTGTAAAATAGTAATAAAAAAAAAGATGGATAATTTGATGAAACTTAAAATAATTTAAATGGATTGTTAGTTACATGAAAATAATAATGTATCTAGTTTTACTATTTCCCCGTCAGTTAATATTCGAAATAAAAGTTGCGTAGATTTGAAGTCATGACTACATTCCTTTAATAAATAAAAATAAATATTTTTTCCACTTGACGTATGATTAAATATTTTTGAGCGGTAGTGTATAAACGGACGAAAGTGTTAGCAGTGCAGCTGCGTAAGGCAAACATACAGTCGTACTATATGATTGTTTTTCGGCAGAGATGACCGCAGCGAAAGTAGGACATCGTTACTCACCCTAAAAGGAACATATTTATATATAATACGCACACACATATATACGTAATAACTAAAAATTCGGCATTTATAAAACATCACATGTTAACAATAGCAATTTATTATAACTATATGTATGTAACCACTCTCTTTGGCTCATAATAATAGAGTACCTGCAATAAATGAATAAAGCATATTTTTAACCTACGATTATAGTGACTTTAATTTAGTAAGTAATTTTTGGTATGTCCCGCGCGATTATGCTTCGGTTGCCTTTAGCCAACTTTGTTGCAAATAATGAAGAAGTAATTCCATCTAGCGGATATCTAAAGAAAAACAGAGGAGAGAATCTACTATTCGGTAATGTATAAGAGGTGGAGTGGGGGAGCGGCGCGAGGAAGAAAATGGCCGACGAGGCAACGGTAAAAGGGCAGGGACGTCAAGTGAAATACGTGTTTCGGTAAAAAGAAATGTGAAGTCCGTGTTAGATCTCGTGAAACCAGACGGGGAGTATTAATAAAACAATCGTGTTATTGTTTCTTTTGGTGGTGCGTTTAAGCAAAGAATTGTCAGACTAGTCTATTGCATTGGTGTATTAATTTATCGTTTAAAAAAGCGTTCGCGGGCCGTGTGTAGGAACAAAAGGGCTCGCTAGAGGTAAACATAAATTATGTGTTGCTTTACGTTTATTTCTCATTATTCGAATACATTTACATCTCATACATATAAGTTGTTCTTTGAAAATATATTGCTAGAGACTTTCATAATAGTGTACGAGCCTGGCAAAATTTCGTACGTGACAAATTCATCGATCAGTGGAGTAGGTTTGAGTTAGCCACTTGTGGCCATCTACGGATACATTTAAAAGGTATCCTGTTGTCCTTGTTCTTTCAATTTCTCTGTCTACAACGTGAACTCTATATTTATTGTGAATTTGGTGCATTTTGTCTATAAGATATTACAAATATCTAGTACAAAATCTTGGACAATAAATTTATCTAATGTATGTTGAATGATGGGAGCAATGAGATTTAAAGGGATCGATTTGTCAACAAGTCGATGAAAGTGCGCGCACCCGACATTCTCGATCGTAATTCTTTTTCACTTTGTCATTACTGTATAATTTGAATTCCTTTTTTATTGTTATGGGGGCATAGAAAATATTTTACTCCGTTTACGTTATGAGTGTTTATAAATGTCTTTTGTTTTGAATAATACCAACAAATATTAGTGTCAATTGGACGTCAGTTTGATATTTCGAATGAATCGATCGAATTATTTTCACATTACAAAAGATTTCAATGCATAAAACGTGGTAGAAATATAATTTAAAAAAATACTTTAAAATAGACTTCAGAGTAGTTTATTTATACATTTTATGCAATCTTTGATAAATACTTAATAAGTTTATGTATTTCTTTTTTCTTATTTTCAGATATAGTCAGCTTTAAGAAGGTTATAATATTTATAATACTTTACAATGGCAGTTAGGTAGTTTTAACAGTTCGCTCAACACATTCATCATCATTGAGCATATTTCTATCGAGCAGAAAATGTAAAGGAAACAATCATAATGAAGCCACAGAAGAAGGCAGCAGTTGCCCGGAAGGCAACAAAAATGCCAACAATTGCTAAAAAACGTCGCTCATTTTTAGAGAAATCTATATCTGATATAAGAAAAGAGAAAAAGTCTAAAAAGCTTGAAAAGGTGGAGGATGTAAAAAAGAAAATAGAAAGTGAAAAGAAAAAGTCAGAGAAAATTGAAGAAAAAAAGAAAATAGAGGATAAGAAAAAACTTGAAGAAAAGCGAAAAGAAAAATCAGAAAAAGTGGATGAAAAAAAAAAGTACATTAAAGATCATGAAAGAAAGTGGGAAAAAACAGAAGAAAAGAAATTAGATAAAATGGATGAAAAAATTACTGAAGAGTATACTTGTGATGGTACAGAAAAAAAGAAAGTACAAAAAATAGAAGAGAAAGCAAAAGTGGATAAGCAGGTTACAGAAAATAAGAAAAAGATAGAAAAAGTGGAAGATAAAAAGAAAAATAGTAAACTTGATGATGAAAATGTGGAAAATCAAGCAAAAATTTTAAATAATGCAGAGGAGAATGATTCACATGAAGAAAAATTAGATACTTTTTGTTTTGTTGCTAAGAAAAAATGTAAAGATGAGAAAAAGAAAGATACAAAATTAATTAAGCCAGATATTAAAGAAGGCATGAAAATATCTGTGATAAAGGATAAAAAAACGGAACGTAAAAAACTTATTGAGAAAGGTACAATAAATACTAAAAGTTCTTTAACACGAACTAAGAAGGATTCTAAGGCAAAATCAGTGCAAAAAAAAGGTATTTCTAGGAAGACCGTTTTAGTAAAAAAAACACATCTCTCAGTAGTTCAGAAGTTGGTGGATAAAAAAATTAAGTTAAACAAATTGATAAAAGATGAAGAAGCATCTGTAAGTGAGGAGGATGAAGCAGTGAAAAGAACAAAGAGGAAAAATGTTAATATTTCTAAAAGTAAAGTTATGCAAGAAAAAAAACCAAAATTAGCAAAACATATGAAAGCTAAGTTGCCTTCAAAAAATAATAAAATAAGTACTGCATTAAAGAAAGATGATAAACTTAAAACACTTGTAGAAAAAGTTGTACCTAAAAAGAAATTGGATATAAAAGAAACAGAAAAATCATTAAATGAACATAAAAAGGTCATAGGTAAAGATGAATCAAATGAGGAAGTAGACACAACTGATATAAAAAGTGAATTAGAAGAAGATAAAGACATTGATAAAAGTTGTATAGAAGAACAACCACAATCAAAGTCACAAGATATGAAAAAGTCTGTTAAAAGTACTCCAAAAATACAGAGAAAAGTAGTGAAAAAGAAGGCTGTAAAAGTACAAATGGAGAACATTAATCAAATATTTTCTTCTTCTGAAGAAGTATCCTCTGAGGAACCTGGTAAACAAATCAAGGTGTGTGAAGATAGTCTAAATGATACCAGTTTTTCTAAACAAGAGCAAATTGATATGGAAAATATAGTTGACACAAATTTGAAAGATGAACCAGTTAATAGAGACAATACAAGTGGTAATGCATTATCATCAGATTCAGAAGATGAAAGTGATGATGAAGTAAAAAAAAATAAACAGAAGGACATTAAGAAAAGAGAAGGTGCTAATTCACCATCTGATGAACGTGTTAGAAGAATGAGACTGTTTGGTTTTTGGAGTGGACCAAAACGTCATAGAGTTGCTTCCTTAAATGCACTAGCCAAAGTTCACTGTTTGTACGAAAATGAAACTGGAGGGGTGTATCTTGGTGGTTTCTGTAAACCAAAACCTGAGAAAGAAAAACAGAAAAAAACTAAAGAAGAAAAAGAAGAACCTGTTCGTAAAGAAAAGGAAAAAAAGGTAGAAACTAAAGTAGAAGAAAATGTCTCAAAAAGAAAACTTAGAAATGTACCAGGGTTACGCGGAAAGCATTGGGATATGTTAGAAAGTTCTTCGTCTTCGTCGTCTTCTGATGAGGATTGTGAACGTGAGAAAAATGTGGAACATAAGAAAAAAATAATAAAACGAAGGAAGAAAAATGAAGAAGTAATGGATCTAAAAGATATGGTTGTTTGCAAAAGAATGGCAAGTCTCAATGCTACTGCCATTTTGGCTGCTTCCTATTCGGATGAAAAAAATCGTTGCGGTAGTAGTTCTGATTCTTCCAGTGAATCAGAAGTGGAAATTATTAAAAAACGTAAACAAAACGATTCTGATATTGAGAAACGAAAATCAAGGCAAAATTCAGAACAGGATGATGTTTTAAAACCATCCAATAAACTTGTTATTGTGAATCAAGATACAGATGTTACTATTACCGGTACTTTTTTAAGTTTTATTGGTTGTACATATTTTTTTTATGAGTTTAAAGTCTGTTAAAATAAAATTTTGATTTTAAGGTGTTTATGTTAACCAAACGCGATCTACACACCATGAAGGTTTTTGTAGCATTGCTGGTATGCAGTATAGAATAAGTTCAACAAGTCATACTCAAACTGCTGCTACTGCAGTTGCTACTGAGCTTCATGATCAGGTTAGTTATTCTTATTTATTTAAAGAAACTTTTGACTTTTATATGCCATTTTCAAAAGCATTTATCTATATTAAAGTAATATTCGTTAAATATCTATTTATATTTTTTACTACAGCAAAAATTGGAACAACCATGTAAATCATATACACCATTGGGTGCATTATCCTCTATGCAACCACCAGGTACTCAAGGTAATCATCCAAATATGTCACCTCGAAGACATTCTGCATTTTCAGCACCACATCAACATGGTAAGTTAATTGTATTATAATTTTTACATTATTTGTTAGTATTCCCCAAAGGTTATTTATTAAATGAACGACTAAAGTTAATGTTTAAAAGAATGTAAAATAAGAATGTAATACATGATTTATGTTTCTGTTTCTTACAATATTAGGGTATTATCAGCCGGCTGGACCACTGATACAACACCCTCCAACTTTACCACCTATTAAAGGACCTCCTCCAGAGCCTACTCCCACACCACCACAAAATTCTGAGGGCTCAGATGATTTAGTTGCAACTTCCACAACTTCTGGAGGAACTAGCAGTACAGGTACATTCAACTTACTATTATATGTTACATTTTTATTTAAATTTGGTAACATATATTAAATAACAATATTTAATAATTCAGTAAAGTATTGAAAGTAATATAGAATATTGAATATTGAAAATAATTAATTAGGTGGTTTGAGTATCTAAGTAAACGAATTAACAAAAATTTTGAAAAGGCCTCAAGTTCTTACATTAGTTAGGGCTGCACTAATATCCATAAGT